AAAAAATGAAAAAAAGATTGAATAACTGGACTGCATTAAAATGTAGAATTTCCATTCAACAAGATAAATTATTCAGAAAATAAAAACAACATTAAACCAATTAATAGAATAAGATATTTGCTAAATATAAATCTTATGGATAGAAGAAAAACAAATCTCTGATCAATAATAAAGTAAAACAAAGACAAAAAAATAAGGAAAAGTTGTAAAGAGTAACTTCACAATATAGTATATCCAAATGGTCAAGAAAAAATATTAAAAGGTTCTGAATCTCATTAGTATAAATAGGAATTCAAATTAAACCCATAAGAATATGCCTCTATATCAGCCCCTACTCTAAGTAATTGATATAAAACTTAAAAAAGACTGGATATACTAATTGTTGGTAAGATTATAAAACTGAAAATCTCATAAATAATTGCCACAAGTGAATTCCTGCATTCACTTTGGAGAACTATTCAATAATTTCTAAAGCCGCTCGCACCCACTGCTGGTGCCTGGCGTCAGCCCCAATCACCCCTCAGGGTTTCTCCACCTCCCCCTGCTCCTGAGGGGCAATCGGGGCTGGCAGCCACTGCTCACACCCGCTGCTGGTGCTGGCCCCAATCGCTCCGCCACTGTCAGCATGTGGGAGTGGCAGCAGTGGGAGGAGGGCTGCTGGCAGACAGGGGACCAGGGACCTCAGTGGGAGGGGCTGGGCAGGGGCAAGGAGGATAGGCTGAGACCCGCCCCTGTGCCCACTGTAGCTTCATGGCCCACAGTTCCTTTCAAGGTGCACAAATTCGTGCACTGGGCCCCTAGTTTGTTATAATGTCACTAAGAGGAATAAAATCAGATACAGAGATAGAAATGTGGGGAGTAAAAAATTCAGAATAGATATGGGGGACAGAGATGATTTACAGGTGAAACATAGATGTCAGTGATGGGAAAAATGTGAGGAAAAAAATACCTAAACCATGTGAGTATACAATTCAAGGGACTATACAAAGGATATTCTAAGGAGCAATAACAGTGCTTGCAAAGGCTTTAAGACAGAGACATGATTGATATGTTCAAGGCATGGCAAAAACACCAGTGTAACTGGATTGGAATGAGCAGGATAGAGATCCTTCGAAAATTAAGTGAAAGACTTTGGCATAGGTCTGATCATATAGGGTGCTTTGGATATGTTACAGACTTCAAATGTTATTCCAAGAAAGTTGAAAGCAACTCATGATCTTTTTTATTTTTAATGTATCTCACTTCCTAGGTGGTAGAAAATAAATTATAGGAAGGCAGAGAAACTGAGAGTGAAAGCAGAGAGGCTAAATTAGATGCTATTTTCATAGTCCAGGGGAAAGATAATTGTGGCTTAGAAAAATCAGAGTCCAGCTGGTGTGGCTCAGCAGTTGAGCATTGACCCATGAGCCAGGAGGTCACTGGTTGGATTCCTAGTCAGGGCACATGCCCAGGTTGTGGGCTCCATCTAGCATGGGTCATGGGGTGTGCAGGAGGCAGATGATGGATGATGTTTCTCTCTTTGATGTTTTTATTTCTCTCTTCCTCTCCCTTCCTCGCTCTCTAAAAATAAAAGAGAAAAAAAATTTTTTAAAAATAAAAAAAATCAGAAATTGAAGTAATTTGATAGAATTAAAAGTATAGTTTGATAGTATTTGCTGAAAGATTGGTTGAAAAAAGGACATAAATAGAATAACTTTTGGCCATAAGCATCTTGGACAAAGGCAATGACAATACCTTTGATGGGAAAGCCTGGTGCACTTCCTCTCCCTCTCTCTCTAAAAATAATAAAAGAGAAAAATTTTTTAAAAATAAAAAAAATCAGAAATTGAAGTAATTTGATAGAATTAAAAGTATAGTTTGATAGTATTTGCTGAAAGATTGGTTGAAAAAAGGACATAAATAGAATAACTTTTGGCCATAAGCATCTTGGACAAAGGCAATGACAATACCTTTGATGGGAAAGCCTTGTGCAGGAACAGTTTTGAGGAGGCAAGGGAGGAAGTGTGTGTGTGTTACATGCCTCTGAGTTGGACCCACTTCCTAATGACCCCATGAATGAGTGATGGCTACAATGCTCTGTCCTCTGAGCCCTTCTCAGCTCCTGTAGACTCATGCCTATGACTTTTCCTATGGAGTCAATTCATCTCATATTTTGTCTTTCTTTTTTTTTTTTTTCTTGCTGGTTCAATTTTCCCCAGCAGGATTATCTTTTTCAAATAATCCTGCCTTTCCATGATGTGCTTGAAGGACAACTTCAGCTTTTTCATTTTCCCCTCAATGGATGTTTTCAGGCTTAATTTAGTCTAGGACATACTAGTTCTTCTTTCTGGTGGTGTTGGGTATCTAGAGGTCTCCTCTAACACCATATTTCAAAAGAATCATTTCCCCCCATCAACCTTTTCTGTCCAACTTTCACATCTATACATAGTACTTGGGAATATGAGGGTGTGGATGATTTTAACCTTGTTCTCTAATGACACATCTTTGTTCTTGGTAATCGTTCCTATTCTCCATTACTAAGCTTCTGAGTGTCAGCCTTCTCTTGATTTCTTAGCTGCAGCCTGCATTTGAACTGATAACTGAAACAGGGTAAGCAAAACATGTAACAATTTTGATGTCTTCATTGTCTATCTTAAAGTTGTATATTTCTTCTGTAGTCATAATTATTTTCTTCTAGATGTTCAAATGCAGACTTGCATTGGCATTTTCTTCTTTTCCTTTTATCAGATGTTTCAAATCATTGCTACTTTCTGCCAATAAAATGGTGCTATGTGCATATCTTAGGTTATTGCTATTTCTTTCACTAATTTTCATTCCTCCTTCCTCTGAGTCTAGCCCAGTTTTTTATAAAATACTAGAGGCCCGGTGCACAAAAATTTGTGCACTCGGGGGGCGAGGGGAGGGGGTTCCCCCAGCCCGGCCTGTGCCCTCTCGCAGTCTGGGACCCCTCGGGAGATAACGACCTGCTGGCTTAGGCCTGCTCCCGGGTGGCAGAGGGCAGGCCCAATCCCTAGGTGCAGCCGGGGAATGTTGGAGTCTGCAGCAAGCAAGCCTCGTGCTCGCTTCAGTGCCTGGCTGCCGGCCGCCATCTTGGCTGACAGTTAATTTGCATATACTCACTGATTAGCCAATGAAAAGGGTAGCGGTCGTAAGCCAATTACCATGTTTCTCTTTTATTAGTGTAGATGTTCTACATATAGATTAAGTAAATGAAGAGATAACATGCACTCTTGTTAGATACCTTTTCCTATAGGAAATCATCTGTCTTTCCATATCTGTCCTGACAGAGGCTTCCTGTCTACATGTTAAATGTGAGATATTATTAAGCTTTAGAGGGAAGTTGCCAAGCAGAAGGTTAGTTACATTAAGTCTGGAACTCTCAGATGAGATCAGGCTGGAGATAATCAATTATTTGAACCCATTGGACAGTATGAGATCACCAGGAGTGGAAGTAGTTAGAGATGAGAAAAATCTCATGATAGATCCCTGGATCTCATAAATAAATTGTTGAAAGACAAGAAACAATATCACAGACTGTGAGAAACTTATTAGATAAGTAGTGATAAAACCAAGAGAACATGGCATCTTGTGGGCTAAGTAAAAAAAAAATGGTGTTTATTTTTCTCATGGATATCTCCTATTTCTTGTTTGTTTCTATCTAGCCAACAGGCCATGAGCTCCTTACAGGAGCTTTGGTTCTTAGAACTTGGCATCAGTGATTTGCACACAGTAGATACTCAATTAATGTTGAAGCAATGAAAATGCAGATGTGAAATTACAAATAACTAGAGGCCCGGTGCATGAAATTCATGCAATTGTGGGGGGGGGGGTCTCTCAGCCCAGCCTGCACCCTCTCACAGTCCAGGAGCCCTGACTGATGGCCTAACTGCCGGCCTGATTCTCCTAACTGCTCTTCCCTAATGGCCTGATCGCCCCAACTGCCTGTCCCGCCACCGTGGCTTTGTCCGAAAGGATGTCCGGAAGGTCATCTGAAAGATGTTTTGTCCAATTAGCATATTACCCTTTTATTAGTATAGATTATAGAAGGTGTAACCTTAATTTCAACTGAAGAACTGAAAATAGTATACAAAGCTTAATGGCCTAGGGCACATGGTAGAGCTGAATGAAGATGTTGCAACTCTGGGAGAAGAGGGAGGCTAAAATTGTAACAGCTAATTTCAAACATCTCACAGCTTTGCTTTTGGCTAACCTGGGGCTGAAACTGCTAGATTTAGAAAAAAAATAAAAAGCAAGTATTGAAATTTTGGAATATAAATTACTAGAAGCCTAGGAAGTTATAGATCATTGTAGCTTTTCTACATATAATATATCTGCCATGTTGGTTACCTGTCAATTTCTTAAAGAGATAATAAAGCCATCATTTTCTACTTTGACATGTTCAGAATGTATCATAGATTCATGAAGGTTACTAGGTGATTCTTTCCAATAGTAAATATATGCATAGTAGATAATCTTGAATTTTATAAGTAAGGTGTGTTTTTTTCAGGTAAAAATATGATTAAACTAGATTTAGCCTAAAGCAAAAATTTCACTTATGATTTATGGATAATTTTGGTTGGTTCAATCACTGCAGGGGAATTATATTAGAAAATCACCTTATGTCTTCCTAGTGAAATTTAATTTTGTATCCAATAAATGACAAGCAGTACTTCCATTTCACTTAGCAATGTACCAAAGAGCTGGGGGCCTATAAACTCTTGAATATAAATGTTTCCTTTATCTTGGGGCAATATTGAGGAACATAAAGGCTTCAACATACTACATATAATAAAATATGAGGTCTTACTTTAATTAGTGGTCTGGTTGCATTTAAAATGTTTTTATGTTAAGGAATAACTGTATATAACAATATAAATAATAAAAATTCCTCTTTTGAAATGTCTATAGAAGGGTTAAAATAAAAAACAAGGTAATTCATTGTTCACTGTTCTTACATAATAAAATTGAATAAATAATTGTCAGTGAATTATAAAATTTGTATAAAAATTTTCTGGACTTAGTACTAGATACTTATTATCTTAAAGTGTAGGTATGCATGTACAAGTAGTAAATATTGGCCTCATTTTAATAGTATTAGTAGTTATATGCAAACATTTAGAAGCATAAGGAGTATGCAAGGGAAGAATATAGGTTTTAGAATAAAACAGATCAACATATAATTGTTGTATCACCAACTATAGAACCTTAAATAATTAATAATATGAGTTTCTGTTTCGGCATCTGTTTCAAATGGGTAGAAAATTACACATATCTGTCAGTGAAATTAACCCAGAAAGTATGTGTTTTGTAAGGCATCAGATTACATTTGGGATTGCAAAGCATTACAATTGTTTTGAACTAAAAAAGACTTGATAGCTTTTCTTGTAGAACATTTTTCCAAAGGAACTATGTAGATAAAGTCTTGGTCGATAGGAGTTCACAAACTCTTTCCATGAGTCTTAAAGTCAGTAAATAAAGGTCAGTGTGTGTTATTAAAGAATAATCTTGAATTCAACTGAGTTTTTTAATCTTGTATTTAGTTACTAAATCAAGACTATGAGAGAGCATAGTTTAGACACTGGTTGTATATAGATTAGCCAGATAATAGAACAACCAGTTATATTTGAATTTCAGATATATAACACATGCTTTTCAGTATAAATGTGTCCCAAAAAATATCTAGGGCATATTTATCTAAAAAAATATTCCAAGTTTATCTGAAATTCTAATTTAAGTGGGTTTCCTGTATGTATATTTGCTAAATCTGGCAGTCTAACTGTGAAATTCTCATATTTTAGAGGCATTAAATGCAAGATAGTGCTGCAGAATATCTATAATATTGTAGACACTGGACGAGTCTGATTGTCAATTCCCCTTTTTCCTCATATTAGTGGAGTGATTTAAATTATCTGGGTAAGGTTTGCCTTATTTACCCAAAGGAGTATAGTAATTGAAAAATTATTTGTAGATATGTATGTCTTAATTGAGTTTGGGGATCTAAAATTCTGTAAAATGTAATTGAAATATTCATTTCAAATATGAGATGTGATTCACTGCCATACAATTGTCTTAAAGTTACCATAAGGTTAATCATAAATATTACATTATAACAATTCTCCAAGTAGCAATATATCATTTTCGAGGTTTTTTCACCAAGAGTTCTGAACCAAGAGTATTTACCTGTGAAAAAATTAAAACGTTTATATCTTGCTATTAATAAAGAGAATATAATCACTTAAAATGGTTTTAAAGTTGCCTTCCATATTAGATGCTTAAAAATACATAATGTTCTAGAGTAATATCCTACTAGAAAAATCAATAGTGTGATTGCCAAAGCCTTTAAATATAATTTTATGTTATATAAATCAATATACGAAGTATATGAATTTTGATAATTTTTACCAGTGTTGAAGGAAATTCAAGAAGACCTGAAAATGGGAATATATTCATTATTTTTTCATAGACTGGCAGACTTAACATTATTAATATGGCAGTATTCCCCAAATTGATCTACAGAATCAATACAATCTCTATCAAAATCCCACCTGAACCTTTTTCAGAAAATTTCTAGCTGATTCAAAAATTTATATAAAAATTCAAGGAACATAGAATAGTAAATAATATTGAAAAAGAAGAACAAAGATGAAGACTCAATTTTTGTGACTTCAAACTTTCTACAAAACTACAGTAATCAAGGCAATGAGGTACTCACCTAAGGACAGACATATAAAGTATTTAAAAAGAATGGATTTTTCAGAATATTTATGGTTAATTGATTTTAGACAGGGAGTCAAGACAATGAAGGAAAGAAAAGTCTCTTCAACAAAAAGAGCTGGGGCAACTGGATAACTACGTGCAAAAGAATAAAATCAGATGCCCACCTCACATCATATGCAAAATGTAAATCAAAATTAATTCAGACCCATGTCCAGTACATAAAACTATAAAAATCTTAGAAGAATAGGAATACATCTTTGAGATATTTGATTAAGCAATGATATCTTAGATAGGATAACAAAAGAGAAGCAACAGAAGAAAAAATAAATAAACTGAACTTCGTCAAATTTAAAAATCTGTGTTTAAAGATATTACCAAGGCCTGGCCAGTGTGGCTCAATGGTTGAGTGTCAAACTATGAACCAGGAGGTCAAGGTTTGATTCCTATTCAGGGCACATGCCTGGGTTGTGGGCTTGATTCCCAGTGTAGGGCATGCAGGAGGCAGCCAATCAATAATTCTTCTCATCATTGCTGTTTCTAACTCTCCCTCTCTCTTCCATTCTAAAATCAATAAAAATATATTTTTAAAAATAAAATAAAAGATACTACCAAGAAGATGAAAAGAAAATGGACAGAATGAAAGACAATATTTTCAAAAAAAAGAGAAAGCCAATATTTTCAAATTATATACCTATTAAGCAACTTGTATCCAGAATATATTAAAAATTTCTATGTTCTATACCTGGACACTAAAAGTTGGATAAACATTTGACAGATATTTCTCTCAAAGAAGATATACAAATGGACAATGAGCATGTCAAAATATGTTCAACGTTGTTTATCATTCATTAGGGAAATGGAAGTTAAAATCATAATGAGGTATAATTCACATCCACTAGGATTGCCAACATAAAAAACAAATTGGACAACAATGAGTATTGGCAAGGATATGGAGAAATTGTTATCCTCATAAGTAATTGGTGGGAATATAAAATGATGCAGCCACTTTGGAAAACAGTTTGGCAGTTCTTCAAAAAGTTATATATAGAGCTACCATAAAACCCAGCAGTTGCACTTCTAGGAATATAATCAAGAGACCTAAAAACTTATGTCCATAGAAAAACTTTTACACAAATGTTCATCGCAACAATATTAATATTAGCCAAAAACTGGGAAAAATCTCATATTTCTATGAACAAATGAATAGATTTTTTAAATACAGTATAGCCATACAATGGGACATTATTAGCTAAAAAAGGAATGTACTAATAATATGTGGTACATGAATAAACCTTGAAAACATGCTAAGTGAAAAAAACAGACAACAATCCCCACAAATTACATTATTCCTTTGATATCATATCTAGAATAGGAAAATCAGAGGGACAAAAATAGATTAGTGATATCATGGGCTGGGAGAGGGGATAATAGAGAGTGACTGCTCATGAATATTGAGTTCTGTTTTGGTGTAATGAAATGTTCTAATACTGCCCTGACTGGTTTGCTCAGCGGATAGAGCGTCGGCCTGTGGACTGAAGGATCCCAGGTTCGATTCCGGTCAAAGGCATGTACCTTGGTTGCAGGCACATCCTCAATAGGGAGTGTGCAGGAGGCAGCTGAATCGATGTTTCTCTCTCATCGATGTTTCTAACTCTCTATCCCTCTCCTTCTCCCTTCCTCTCTGTAAAAAATCAATAAAATATATTTTTTAAAAGAAAGAAATGTTCTCATACTAGATAGCAGTGATGGTTGTACATTTCTGTGAGTATACTAAAAACCACTGAATTATACACTTAAAGAGGTGCATTTTATGGATGTGTAGTTACCCAAAACTTATACAATTAGAAAAGAATGATTTTGGAAATGAAAGTTGTTAGGCTAGTTGACTGGCAAATATACATTTTTAAGAAGTGCTGACCTACCTTATAGTTAAGATAGGCATGTACAAGTTCACCTGAGAATGCTTAACCAGGCTCTTTTAATGGAGCAGGATTGATCATCTTCGCACTGTTGACTGTTCTTTTTTGTTTGTTTTGTTTTGTTCTCATAACACTATGCATTTGTACTTTACTTGTCTCTTGCATGCAATTTAGTGTTTGCATTCCTACATGGGTGTTTGCATTCTAGAAGAGCATAATATAATGCAAAAAATAGAAAAAATAAATTTAAATAATCTATTTGTATGTTTAATTAAAATTTAAAAGTAAGCTTTAATAATATTTAATATGTAGGTGCTATGGACTGAATGCCTGTGTCATTAGCGTGTTGAGGATCTTTCTAAGAGGTGGGGCCTTACAGAGGAAGGTAGGTCATGAGATTGGAGTCCTCATGAAAGGGATCAGTGCCGTTGTAAAAAGAGACACGAGAGAGATGGTATTGCTCTCCTTCGTGTGAGGTTACAACCAATAGGAGTCCATCTCCACCAGGAAGAAAATCCTCACTGGGAACTGAATCGGTCAGTTCCTTAATCTTGGATCTCTGCTTACCAAAATTGTAAAAAAAATAAAAATAAAAATGTCTGTTGTTTAAGCCACTCTGTGTGTTTCTTGTTTTAGCAGCCTGAACTGGGCAACAGTAGCACCCTTTTTATACTATGTCTAAGAAACCCTCTGGGTATGATATTTTTGCAAAGAAGAGGAGCTTACAGTGACATTCCAAGTTTTTATTTTGCTCTCAAGGTTTTCTGATGAATTGTTATGCAGAGATATTAGAATCATGAATTATATAAACTAATTTTAACTATTACCATATACAAAAATAGCTTAAACTGTCTCTGCACAAAAAAAATGTGGATTAGAGAAAATATTAACAATGCAATTGAAAGGAAACAGTGAGAAAAGTAAATTGGACACTACCTGGTATTATCCATAGGAAGAGCTGTTGGTTAGCCAAGATTGTAAAGTTTAAGTGATGAGATTGCAACATAACATTTAAAAATATGAAACATAACTGCTCAACATTATAAATGTGATATCTTAACAAAAGAAATTATAAATAGTTTTCAAAAAATAATCCTAGTATTATAAAGATATTTTGGAAATAGCTCCATTATTATATGTTAGTATGGCACAAGGAGATATAAGGATGCCACCATTTTAGGGAATCTAAAATTCAACAGTTGAAAAACATCAGGGAAACAAAGTCAATAATTTACTCTCATGATAAATAATTATGTATAAGAACAGATAGTAGTATCCTTGTTTGACAGGGAAATCTAAGCCTCAGATACTCGGAATATCTTTGCCAACTTCAGGAAGTGATTGATCCAGGACTCACACCCATGCTGCCTGACTCTCAGCCAGCCTTGCTGCACTTGCCCTAGGAGTTATTGATAGATGATTAAATGTTTCCTGGAATTTTTGTGGATCTAAACCACAAAATAGAATATCTTCTATTTCTGCTTTTTCTCATAGGCTGTGTAGCAAGGCTTATTGTAAGGGATATCTATCCTTCCCTGTAATCCTCAGAAATTGAGTAAGAAAGTGTGCAGACAAGACTTTTATGTATGCCAGTTGTGCTTGGGGTGACAAAGACAATAGTAATATTCAAACAATATTCAGATAAAGTGTTTTCCATAAAACATGCTATAGTTGAAATTTATTTACTCATTGGTTTCAGTCACATCAGCAAAAGCTGCTTTTCAGATCTCACTGGCCCACTAACAGAATTGTTTACCCAAAACATAATTTTACAAGATATTACCAGTTGATATTAAGTGCCATTATAAGAAAAAAATACAGTCTCATGAAACTCATTCTACCTGTATCTCTTTCAAAAATAATTTGAAGATGTTTATTACACAGCAGAGAAATTTCTATCTGCAATTTGTACAAAAAATAATATACTTCTTATTAGCAAATGGTTTGTTTTGTTCTTACCTTTGCAGTAAATTTTTCTAACAAACCATGTTCCTTTTGTATCTTTGAGAATACAACTCTTAAAGCTAAATTTGGCATTGCTTTTTTAGCCACATTTCCCCCATATTTATATATCATGCCATTCTTATTTGTTTTTCTTTTAATTTTGTTTAACATGTTATATTTTACACATTGTAAATTTGTTAAAAGTTTTCTGGAACAAACTATAGCATCAATATAGAAATAATTATTTTTATAATTCTGACATGAATCCATCTTTAGGTGCTTTCTCAAAATATTAAAGTGATAAAACAATATATCTTCAATTTCCTCATGTAAAAATAGGGTTATTAATTACATAATATACTAGTGACCCAGCGTGCAAAATCACGCGAGACCCAGACCTGTGCGAGACCCAGACAATCGCTGTGGGACTCCCTTGAGTCCTGGCGCACAGTGGGACCCAGAGTCAAGTCCCCGCCCACCCATCTATCCTCATCAGCATGCAGCTCCGCCCACCCACACACCTCACCATGCATGTAGCCTCCTGGTGACCGGTCTTTGGTCTTCTCGGCATTATGACCACTGGGTTTTTATTATATAGGTAAGGTTTTTAAAGTTCAAATAATTAAGACTGTATGAACAACTCCTCTTTAGCAAAACCACCAGTAACCATCCTTTTCATCCACACATACTAATAATATGACCTAATATAGGAATAAACCTTCCTTGTGCAATATCTTCTTAATCACCTGGTTCTCAATAAAACCATGCTTCTCATACTTTCACATTCACATTAATCGCCTTAAGATCTTATTAAAAATGGAATTTCTGATTCAGTAGTTATGGGGTTGGGGAGTCTGAGGTTCTGCATTCTTATGCGGTGATGCAGTTGCTGCTTGCTGGCAAATCACATGTGAAAGGGATTAGACTTCCTTTGTGGAAAATAATTTGTTGTTAGCTACCTGAGCAGGAAGAATTTTATAGGTACTCTCAAAATGCAAAAAATATATAAGGATCTGTACCCACATTTGCAAGCTGATATTAAAAATGAACACACAAAAAACCACCAGTTTTAAAACGAACAAACACTACATTTAACTATTGACCTGAAATTTCCCTATTTTCAATGAAGTGAATATTTGCATAGTATAATTCATTAAATAAAAATAATATGTGTATAGAAACTAAGGAATTAATAAGTAAACATCTTTACCTTGAGAAAAAAAGGAAAAAGAGGAACAAAAAAAAGAAGTTGCTAGCATCACAATCAGAGTTTGTGTTACTGAATTTCAGTATATTATAAAAATAAGTTCTGGAATTTAGGCTGTATAGTTAGCTAAAAGAAGGCCTGATTGTTTATGCATTTTGTTTTGGTTTAAACAAATCTGTTGGCATTCTGCAAAGAGAAACAGAGACAAATGGTTTAAGCAGGCCTCCGCTCTGTGTTTCAGTACACTGCCATAAAACAAGTTAGATGAAATTAAGCATGCAGCAAGATGGAAAAATTTTTGCTGGCGTTATCACAAGTGCTTACCATAAATATATTATAGTACATGCAGAAGACTGCAAGGAAAACTACTGCCATCAAACTGTGAATTGATTCCATCCGTACTTTTCATAGAGGCTGCTTTTGTTTGTTTATTTTGGTTTGCTTTGTTTTGTGTGATTATCATTCACAACTGAAATATGCAGACAAACACACCATTAATTCTCTCCATTATTTGCAAAGCATTAATGAGGAATTATGTAAACACTGATGTTTTTAATGAAGGCAGCTTTCCTTTTAGTGAATTTACTGGGGCCAGGGGGATTGGAGTGTTTCATGTTTTAAAAATAATTCTATAGAAAAAAATATATCTGTCTTGACACTAGATTGTTATCTTCCTAGGGATTTTTTTTTTTATTCATCTTTGGAACTTCAGAGCCTAGCATAACTATTTGCAAATAATCATTTGCTAAATCATTGCTTCTTCATGCTGTATCATATGATAAAAAAAATTCTTAAGTCTCATTAATGCTATATTAAACTCAGTTTCTGTTATTTAGAGTAGCATTGAAGCCTAATTATAGGAGAACATAACAGTGATGTAGGAAGTTAGGATAGAAACACATTGCCATATACATTTTTATATTATAGACACAAGAGTTGTATGATCATGGAAAATTCAAACTTTCTTTTTAATATATTTTATTGATTTTTTACAGAGAGGAAGGGAGAGGGATAGAGAGGCAGAAACATCGGATGAGAGAGAAACATTGATCAGCTGCCTCCTGCACACTCCATACTGGGGATGTGCCCGCAACCAAGGTACATGCCCTGACTGGAATCGAACCTGGGACCCTTGAGTCCGCAGGCCAACGCTCTATCCGCTGAGCCAAACCGGTTAGGGCGAAAATTCAAACTTTTTATTTCTCTATTTAATTTCACAAAATATGTAGAACCACCCTTGACTTCTAACAAATATTTTATTATATTGTTTTCATGATGCTTGGGGTGTCTGTTCTGGCCTTTTATTTAATCAAAAAGAAGTTTAGACTCCTAGTTATACACTCAAAAATTTTGTCTTCTTCTCAACTTTATCAGCCTTTTTTTCTTCTCTCTTGATGATTAACGATAGGCAAAACATCTGCATATTTGTGTAAATTACTTTTAAATTTTTATTCAAAGACTAGTTGTGCCAATAAGTGTACCAATGAATAAGATTCAAGCCTGGTTTCATAATGTTCATAATCTAGTGAGTACTATAAGACCTTTCATTGTTTTCTGAACTTGTAGTTCATCATGTTGCCACAAGTAAAAGTCTCATTTCATGATTCACTCAGTTTTTTGTTTACTAATATTTTATCTTCTTTCTATTTGTATTCTGAAAGTTCCACTAATTTTATACTTTAAATTCACTTGGCCTTCAATATTTATTAAGTACTTCAACATTAAGCA